AAATAACTATCTTCTGTATTTAACAGTTTATTGTTTCACAAAAAGTGTATATAATGTAATAGGCCGTAAATGTGACATCTCGCCTGTCCACATTAGATTTGTTTTTGCTTGTAATTGATATATAGACTGACTATCAAAAAACGAGTTGCATCCAAAAGTGCAGCCAGATGATTTGTTTTTCTTTTATTTCAATAAAGTTTCATTATATTCTACCCTTAACCGGATATCCTGTTTTGTTATATGTCAGCATCTATTACTATCTAATATGTCTACTGATATTTAATATGTCTGAAGAATAGTTAACGTTACTGATCCAACGCAAAATATATAGATGTTGCCATTTTTAGGATACGCTAATTATGCTAAAAAATTGCTTCCGAATGGTAAACAGGTTTAAAGACGAAAATAATATCACGAAATCTGTTTGGATAATGATAACTGAAATTTCTCAGTGCAAAGTTAATTGGATCAGTCTTACTTTCTAAAAAATCCTAACTAGTAATTTGAGTTCTTAAGCGTGTCCGATTTCAGGTAATGATTACAAAACGATACACTGTTTACTTTTCAAAATGATGGAGGTAAGGTCTTGTAATCACTGAACCAATTTGCCTCGATAGTCACTGATGTTTCTGTCGTGGCCTATCAATCAGGGATATTCAAAGATACGTGTTTCCCTGTTTTATGATCAGTACATGTGATGAAACAATTCTGCGGTTTCTTAAAGCTCTTCCTCGATCCTCCTCTTTCTGTGTGGGAGGGCATTAGAATTGATTATTCGCCATGGGAATTCATGTTTAACTCCTACGCTAATGCCATCTGTTTTCTCAAATACTTAAAACCCTTACCTATTGCGAAACTGAATAGGTATTATGTTAATCGCAGAAAATGTACCTATTGATGGAAAAAGACTTACTACTTCTTTGGAAGTACTTTGGGTACGCTGTTATTGTATGTAAAAGGGGCACCCAACTTGAAATTTAAAATTAAGTCTTGAAATCTACCCAGTTAAAATGTTTCTCTAATTTAAAATAATATGATTAATAACTTTAAACATTTTTTTTTTTTTAAATTTAGTATTTACCCTGTTATTGTACGGAAAAGAGGCACCCGGCTTAAAATTTAAAATTATGTCTTGAAATCTACCCAGTTCAAATGTTTGTCTAATTTAAAATAATGTGTTTAATTTTCAACACCTTTTCTTAAAATTTAGCATGTAACATAATGGTATGCATAGCATATCAAGTAATGGGATTAACTAATTAATAGAATGGGGTGGTGATGGTACACTGCACAGGTGGCCCAACTCCATGTGGTAACTGGTGTTGCTGCGTTTGTTAAAATTGCGTATAACGTATTGCATACAGAGCAAAAATACATTTATCATAAATCTATCAAAAGTGCTAATGCATAACAACATTGAAGGCATAGAACACTAGCGGCAAGAGCCTGTCTGTTCGAGAGTTCAAGAACATTCTGACTTTTTACTTTGTTTAAAAAAGTTTGCAGACTGGATTAGATACAGCTTCTTAATTTTTCGGTTGTATCTTAGGTCCTCTGATTTGTTATACTGTAGAAAGATTAGGTTATTTCGAGATGAAAAATTAGCAACGCCTTCGACTGGAGTCGAACCACGGACCTCTGGAATACTCGCCCAGCAGGCATACCACTACGCCAAGAAGTATCTTATATACTCTCCCTTTCAAAGGACGACTGGGTTTTTTTAGGGGACCCAATCGCCAAATCCTGGGTGGGGAGGATCATCATCCACCACCCTTTTAGTTCTGGCGCCACTGTAGATACATTAGGTAATTTTGGAAGCAGGAAAGATGAAAAATGAGCAACCGCCTTCACCGGCAATTGAATCACGGACCTCTGGAATACACGCCCAGCATGCAGACCACTACACCACGAAGGAACGGCAAGAAGGCGGGAGAAATACTTTATAACAGTTGATACGATATCAGAAAAGCAAAAGAATCATTGATCCGTCAGTCTTTGATGACAGACACAGTGCAAATCGCTAAAATCCCTTGACACTAGCCGTGACGTTGTTATTCTTGTAATGTCAAGTGGAGCCTTAAATGAATGAATTATTGCTCAGAGAGTCTAAAACATTTCTCTTTATCCTTTCTTTTTTGCATTATGCTTTAGTAAATTTATTTCTCTTCAATACAAGGAGTTATGTCCATCTGCATTAATCGAACAAACCTATATGAGCAAGGTACGTCTTTTGGATGAAAGGAAGAGACTACCAAATTGCCTTAAATTGGATCTAATTATTAAATTGCATCTAGGATTTTTCTACAGAAAAACTCCCATACAATTTCCTAAAAAGTGAATATATAGAATTTCCTGTTCCTAAAAAGTGATAATACGATTTCTGAGAAAAATTCTTTTTATGCTTCAGAGAAATATTAATTGTTTAAATAATCTATACTATTAAAAACTATGTGTGGCTGTTTGTTTGTTAGTGGCATCATCTCCAGCGGAACGGCGGCGAGTTGAATTTCGAGAGAGATACTCGCCGATTCCAAAAATTAGTGGGAAGCCATTTCAACAATTATCATCTTTGCACGACTTTAATCAGCCATTAAAAACTCGGACAACGCTAAGTTTCGCACTAATTTTTCCGGGTGGCAACACTCTCGCAAGCTGGAGATAAAAATCTGTTTTATTTCGAAAAGTATTGCCACTGTTCGCTTTCAAATTATATAGTTAGTAAAAAATTTGTAAGTTTTACAAAATATGAAATAAATGTGGTATTGTCGAATATTAAGTATATTATTATTATATAAGGTCATGTTCTAACTTTGTAGAAAGCACGGGATTTCATGTGACGTCATGAAATGTCGTCGAAAATGTTTCGTTAAAGACAACTTTTTAAATAAAAATGCTGTTGGCAACTTTTTTGTTTCAAATTAAAATAATTGACACGATATGTTATCCCCACTTTAATTATTTTATTGATATTGAAGAAAAGTTGTTATAGTGCATTAAATTTAAATCATGATGTCATACGTATACGTATTAACCGGATGTATCAGAGGTTTTCGTTTCCCGGTTTGACAATAAAAAAATTAATTACGAATTGGTTGTTGCTTGAAAAGAATGAACCGATTTCATTCATACTGAAATTTCCTTATACATTTACTTTTTTTTTTTTTTTTGCTTTGCACACAGAACTTATAAATTTGCTTTGGCCGCAGCCCTCTCATCTGGCGAACTTACTCGCTAGTTTAAAATTAATTTATGAGAGTAGATGAAAATGGTCGCTATTACTGCTTGAAATCAAATAATGTTTATGCTGTACGACTAACAAAATTCGTAATAATTTTAATACATAATTAAGGTAGTATGTTTTGCCAATTGAAGAAAGGACTATCTGAATATGATTGAACGATTTTGTACAGAACTTGCTAAACCATACACAAACACTTTCCTTTTAAATCCTATGTAAATTACGTAAGATATTGTCGTTCTATGTGTTATTAATATTTACACACACACATAAGCACACAATCTTTTGCACACATTCATAGGCAAAGAAGAGAAAATAATCTTTGCTCCAAGAACGAAGCTTGAGGTGCAGCTACCAGAAATAAGGACGTTTACCTACTCTGGAAGACATGGTTAATTCTGGGCCTTTATAAATGTGTTTAACGTAAAGAATTTTCCGTAGAGTGTCATGTAGTACAGGGCTAGCATAAATGACTCATTCGTTTCGAAAAGGCTATATTTTCAGAAGTATTTCACGTGCACACACGAATGGTATATGAAAAGAACCACAAACTGGTGACACGAAAGACGTCCAGACGATAAGCGAGATTATTTCATATATTTTGTAGCATTGCTGTCCAGATGTTCGTCCTGTCAATTGACCAGATACTCGGAATACAGCAAAAACACTGTGTGGAAGATTTTGCGTCAACGGATGGATTTCCAACCGTACCACTTGTAGCTCGTATAAAAATTAAAGCCGGAGGATTTTGCCTGTCGACTAGATTTTTGAGTCAAGGGTGCAGGAAGCATTGGAAGACAAAGATTTCGCCACCAAAAGTTGATAGTCAGCGATGAAGCAAAATTCCACTTATCCGGGAAACTTGGTGAAACAGTGAAAACATCTTGGTGAGTTTGTGGTTCTTTTCATGTATTTTTCATTTGTGTATGCGTAATACTTTTGAAAATATAGCCTTTTCAAAATGAATGAATCATTTATGCTAGCCCTGTATTTTAAAAAGACGAAGACATAGTTCATACTGCAGTCCAAGAACCTAATTTAGGTAAAATAAAAAAATGTGAAGGATATATGAAAGTATATGTTTTATATACTTGAATGTGGTGGGTAGATGTTATAGTATAGTAGAAATTAAATAACTAGTATTTCAGTTTAATAGCGAAAGTTGAAATTAAACAAAAGAAAGAAATTTCTAAAACGTTTTAGAAATTACTGTCCAGATGGACTGATCGCTGTGGTCATATACAGTCAAATGTAGTACAGGGCAAGAATGACAATGTTTTCGAAAAATTTCGATTACAAGAGATAAATGATAAACTGACCACAATTAGCAAAAATGTTTTTAGCATGCTTTAACAATTTTATTATTTTATAATTATTTTGAATAAAATATCTGCATATAAAACAAAAGTCGATGTGTCAATAATGGAAATTGCTTTCCTTCTGAAATACTACAAGAGCGCATTTAATACACAGGAATTCAAATATAAAAAAACTATCAATTTCAATTTTTAAGGGGATTTTAATTTAAAAAATAAACTAAACATCATTATCGCATTTAAAGAATGGAAGACAAGGAAGATTAAAGCCAGCTATACTTTTGTTATTGAAGGCATGGATTCATCTCTATTTTGATTTAATAATTTGAATAAAATAAATATTTTTAAATTGAAGCAGTCTACCTTGAGACAGCCATTTTATTTTCTATTATTTTCTAAATCCTGATTTCGAAGAGATCTGATTGAACAAAAGAATTTATTCTTACCTTGATCGGGGGAATTAACTTGGAATATCCTTTGTAATTCTTCTGGAGACATCTGGTAGTGAAACTGGAAATAAAAAACAAATAAAGAAATTTAAGTTTGAATAAAAAGATTAAATAAAATAAGACAATCTCTTTTCTGTTCATGTAATAAATATAATATAATACGTATACGTAATAAAGTAAATTATCCTAAAATTAAAGAGTTGATACTAATATTATACTAGATGCAAAACGTATTAAGAATTTATCTCTACTTCTGCTGTATGAAAGACTTTTTTATTAACCCTGAGCAAAAAAATTTTCTAATTGCACAACAATGTAATATAAAAAATCCGATGTGAATACCGCATGACTTCTTTGTACGGCTTATTAAATTGTACACGTTACACACATTGCTGCACTCGATTAAAACATTCATTCGAATTATTCTAATTAATTAAGAGATCACACAAGGCGAGTTGAAAATGACATCAGAAATTGGAAATTTTGGAATTAAATATCTCAATTAATTTTTGTCGCACGGGTCTCAAACTTCTTATTATTTTATTCTTTCATAACGAGAATAAAACGTTCTCAAATACAATGGAACGAAGAGTTAAATTAAAAAGTTAGATTTCGCTATCTGCAGAAAATTAATATTTTTAAAAATTTGACTTCGCTAAAACAGGAATATTTTTGCCATTTAAAACATTTCTGTAATTGGAAGTGTTTCTGAAAATAAAGACAGGGTTAGGACTTATAAGGCGGGTAAGGGGGGCTGGATTATATACTCTCGGGATAGGTACAACTGAAAGTTTACCATATATAGTCAATATCTATACCCCCTGAGGTATTTACACTGACTTGGTATTTTACCACGGCAATAGCATTCTGAGAAAACATAAATTACGAGCCTGGCGGTTCCAGAACCCCGAGAGAAGATCGTCCTATGTGGTTGCGCCATGGAGGTAGGAAGTAAGAGTTTCCTTTCTTATCTCCATGCGTTGGACCAAGCAGGGACTGGCTGTAAGTTCCCATTCTGGTGGTCTCACTAGCGGGAGTGGCTTGCCACTTGACCTGTATTCCGTATAATTCCATGGTATCGATAGTAATGCGACGGCCAGTCCATTGGATAACATTGTATTTCGTGTTAGTCCTTCAGACTGGAGCTGCCGGTGTAATACTGGCACGGGCACTTGACGACTAGTCAAATCTTCAGGCCAATAGCTCCGCACCTAATGGTGATCTCTGTTCGCCGGGAGTGGTGACCCCGCTTGACTAGTTCAGTCATGAGTTATGGGAGAATGTTTTTGATCAGTCACCTGTAAGTATGGGATGGTCGGCAGTGTAGTGAATTTCCATGGAGGCTATTTACGCTTTACAGACCCAACTCCCGCTTTATACGGGGGTTAAAAGTTGGGGTCAGGCTTGGTTGTGCATCTACCTTAATTCGCGGTACCAGCTAATACATAGTCAACATCTAATAGGTTGTTCTCAATCATATATGAGCTTGGCTCACGAGCGGCCGAGTGGTAAAATCGCTGAACACTTGTAGTTTGGCCTGGGCTCAGTTCTAAGCGAACGGGCTGGCCACATGTGTAATATGGGTTTCCACGTGTGTAATTTCCACACGTGGTTTTCCTGTAATATACATATGCGCCAGTTTCCTTTGAAAAGCTCTCCAGACGGCACCCTTCTCCTTAGGAAGATAGTTTTGGCGCAGTATGCAGCTGTATATGCTGCAATCAAATAAGCCAAACCAATCCCATGCGAGTTTTAACAATTAAACTTGAGAAGTTTTGAATTACATATCATAATATATATTTTCGGAGTATTAAGTATCGCATCACTTCCATCAATTTTATCCAAAATCTAATATGTTGTTCCCAATGATATAAAAGTCTTAAATACTAAAATTGGAAACTTTTGATTTATATTTTAATATAGTTTTCCGCTAAAAACTGTTATTTAAGTATTTAAGTTATTTAAGTTATTCCAGTTGGCCATTAATTACCTTTTTTGAGCTTGAATAGAAGTATCACTTCCGGTTGTCCAATTTTACCCAAAAATCTAGTTAAGTCTTTATACGAATACAGAAAGCTTACATATTGAAAAAAGAAGTTTTTGGAAGTTTTATGTGAAAATTATTCCGGACGGAAAAATCGTCACACACAGACAGATAGCCATCATTGTAAAAAAGTAAAAACGTAATGCGGAGACTTTAATTCGTGCTTATTTAATGGAAATTCACTATCACATAATCGGATTGAAAACAATACTTCCTTTACTTTTATGTATATAGGTTGGCGAGAGGTAAAAATAATGGCATTTACATTATGTGAAGAAAAACTGCATGTATGCCAAAAGTGCTTCTTAAAACCAGAGATTTTAACGAAACAAACAATAACTTGAAAGGAACAAAGAACTGTAAAATCATCTGCACTCATTCTTTTCGCCACGCCTGAATTTTAACAGTATTCTTCTTTTATGCTAAATCACCCGAAAAGTATTTAAAACGCTCTTTTTTTTTTTCATTTCTGTTATTTAATAGCCCTTTCAGTGAAGACTATGAATTTCCCTTTAAAAAAGGAACGAAATTAAATTACCCCAAAATCAAATAACAATGAGAGAAACGTCGCGGGGGGTGCAACCTTAAGTCTAATTTCCCATTGTGCACCTGTCACAACATATACGCTTATACTAAATTAATGAATCGCGGCGCACTATTTTCCTTGCATCCCACTTGGTGCAAAATAAAACCACCCATAAGAATTTCTTTTGTTAGAGACGAAGAATGCATCCATGGATCACGAATTAGAACAAATTTTTTCGAGCGAAAGTAAAATAAACAATGAATCGAGGTTATTCTGTATATGGGTGGAGAGTGTATTTAAAATCTGTTAGCACCCTGACACAATAGGCTTGGTATCTTTTACTGAGATAATCGCATTCAGAACTACAGTGGGATGAGTCAGGAAGCAGAATGGTTTCCGTTATCTAGCATAGGCGTCAATACGTGTTCTGATACGCCAAAAGGCCATATTTCCATTTAATTTTTGGCGTGTCTTCGAACAAACTCAAAAGCCCGTTTTCTATTAGCAATCCATCTATGATAATGTAGAAAGGTTAACTGTCATCCTGAAGTTCCGTTTGTTGTCGAAGGTTTTCTTTGCTGTCCAAGGAGATTGACATCAAGGGGAACTCAAACAAGATGAATAACAGCGCAAGCTGTAAACCTATGGGAAGGAAGTTTTGACAGGGGCAGGAATTTTAAAAACAGATAGAAATTTGTAGAAATGTGATCCTTCTAAAGATGAAAGCGTAGGCAAAATATCTCGATCTGGTACCCTGTTTTCTGAAATAAAACATTGTGGGAGAAGTAACTGTTCATATTGTTACTAATTTTCTACATAGCTAGATGATTTTTAGTGCAATTATATTTGAAATTGTTGTATTTTTCCGTGTAATGTAACGCGAAATAAATTTTAAAAGAAAGGTATGCCGAAAAAAATAAGAATACAGGGGCACTTAACATTGAGTAAATGTGTATCTCGGTAAATCGTTAGCTTGGTGATGACAACGTTTTTTAAGACTTAATTTGTCGCCACATTTAGCGAGAAATCGCCAAATCTGGCGATATTTCGGTCCGGTCCCTGTATCACCGTAATAGGTATTGAAATTCAATAATTATAATCGACCGCCATGTTAGCTGTAACCGTAATCCCACCAGTAATTTCGAGAAGCAGAAAATACTAAGAATATCTCAGTAGCCGGTTGAAAGCTATAAAAGCTCGGAGAGAGAGCGTCTGAGTTCAGTTGCGTTGTTACTGTTCTTTCGAGTTGTAGTTCCGCGTGAACTGAGTTAAATCCAAGTTAGCTTTCCCATTAGATACGCTTTGCCCTGCGTTGTGTTTAACGTTCTTAGTAGCTTGAAGTGTAACTACTGATTACTGTGTGATTATTGTGAGCACTTGTACGAATATTTCTGTGGACAATTCCAGAGTTCTGAAATATTTCTTTTGATAAAAATAAATTTTATTAACCTATATCGGACTTGTGCATTCAATCTATTACGAATCCGTACGCACGCAACAATACTATTATTCCTGAACATTATGGTGGAACTGTTATAATTTCTTTGAAAACTAACTGGCGCTATAAACTAGATGTTATGTCCAAGATTTGACTTTATTTGCAGAGGAAATAAAGAAATATTTCTTAGACTGAGGCAAGTAGATATCTTCGGAAGCATTCTGTTATCAGAAAGGTCTGTGCATTACTATGAATACTGTCTTTCTCATCCGGTATGACTTGCTATTTTTTCTACCTATTTGAGAAAGTTTCAGTGAACCATACAAATATAGATAAACTTACATCTGCCCTCGAATGAAGCTAGAAATCCGCTAGGCTTATACAAGAATGAAACAATATTTTCAAAGACAAACAACTTTCGGGTCCATTCATTATTGCTATCGATTTTAACAGTTGTTCGAATTATTCTTTTTTGCCTTTATTGACTTTCTGCGTGTTTATGTTAAATCATAGATGAATGCTTTGGGCTTTGAAATGAAAACATCCTTCTGATTATGCATGTTCCGATTACACTTATTTTAAAATTAAATAATTCAGATTGAAATTTGAAATTTTTAAATTTTAAACTAAATATTTCGCGATTAAAATGATATTATTGTTTGAAGAAGAGAGACCTTTATTATATTCTTTCGAATGCAGTTCACATTTATGCTAAATTCCCTCTAAGCGTAACTAATTTGTTTACTCCAGTCATTTCTAATTTGACACTTACTTTTATTTAAATTATTTTTAATTAAAGTTCAAATTGGTAAGCTTTTCTCTTATCTGTTATTCGCTTGATTTATTGAATGTACGGTTTTAAACGAAAGAGAATTAACGCCTTATAAAAATACCCCCCCCCAAAAAAAAATGTAAAATTTAGCAATTTTTTTTTATCTTTATATTTGTGTTTTACTTCAGCTGTAAAAGAATTCTGGACCTAATTATGAAACTAACTTCAAATATACAAAAATAAATAATGGAATAATCTATCGAAATAAATAGAGTTCTTTC